GGGGGGGGGGGGGGGGGGGGGGGGGAGCGTTTGTGTGACTCGATCACCATAGGAAACATATGCGTTTTATTAAGTAATAATTTTGATTGTGTGGATAATATACGACTCCGAATGGAACGACTGCGAACGGACCTTTTCCGGTAACACGATTGCGAACGTTTTTGCCCGCGTTTAATCGTGCGGTGTTGTCAGATTTGATGTTAGTCAATAACAAATTAGAACTACCAATGGCCCAGAGAGCTTTCATAGGACGTACAATGGTCAGTTTTATTATCTGAAATCGAAAAGTTATGTTTTCCTGATTCAACCCCATTGGCGTGCGGCCGATGTTATGGCGTCGGAACGCGCGTACGGTGACGGATACATTTTCGCTTGGCCTTTCATGTTCCCCGGAACACCGCGTGTACAATACGATCCGGCTGTTCGAAAGGCGTTTTACGAAATAGGGTCTGATCCGGATCGCGGCCCGAGTTTCTTTTTCTCTCGGACGGGTCTGCCGGGACCTTATAATGTATCGCGGTCCGGCAGGGGCGGATTGGCTTATCGGGAAATCGGGAATCTCCCCGATGGGCCGATCTTTGTTTGGGCCGCTTTATATTATTATATAATTCCCAAAAAAAAGTTTTATTTTGTAAAATAAATAAAAATCTTTAAAAATAATAAATATATATTTAAAGATGCATTAAGATCAAACTTCAAGTTCAAGTTGGAACTGATTAATCACGTAACTTACCCAAATCTATTATAGCTATAATTATAGTAAAGTTATTGTAAATTTTACTAATTTAGGGGTGAAACTAAACAAATTTTGAAATCGATGCAAAATAAAGCATTTTTTTGGGAGGGGGGAGGGGTAAAATAGTTTAATTAACGGTTCATGGGCCGGTTTGTTTCATATTTCTTGAGCCGAAAATAATTGATAATCCGCCCCTGCGGTCCGGTGTCGACGGCACGATCAAAGATCGTACGACATAGCTTCATAACATTATAACACATCGTAACATGTTGATTACTGTTATTTCAAGATGTAATGTTCAGTCTGGACATGGGCCGTGTTTAATATTTCTTCACCCAGGGGTTTACAACATTTTACCGCCCTTCTTCATCGAACTGCAAAACCGAAAACAAGTGTCTCCAACCGTTCATTAAAAATCCGCTGGCAATTCATTTTCCCCGTTTCAGTACGCTATTACACAATATCTGTAATTAATATCAAATCCAAAATAACAACTGAGTTGTAATTACATAAAAAAGTTATAGAAAATTGTCTTTTGTAGGACTGATGCATCTGGTGGTACCCTAAATAATTTAATACCTTTTGGTCTAAATGTTCCATCCCAGTACAAATCAACATTAAACCAATACCTATATCTCAATAAAATACTCTTAAATATATGTACATTTTGTACGCTACTAAATAATATAAATGATTGTTTAGTATAATATTTATTTTTTATACAATTTTATTTGTTCAAAAATAATTATCCATTGAGCATGCGAAAAAATCGATATTGTATTATTTAGAATCACCGTAAAAATATTGCCACCCCTTTAAATATTTAATTTTACTATTTTTAAATCATAGATTAACACTAATATATATATTAGGATATATATTATTATAAGGACAATTTAATGAATGAAGACAAATCTTCTAGTGTATTACCTACTAAGTCTAAGTATAGTGCTGAAGAAATCCATAAACTCATCATAAGTATCAAGAATAATGATGGTAAAACAAATTAATTTTGAACTTAATTATAATTAAGCATACAAATGATTTATTCGAAAGAAAAAAACAATAACTGTATTATTTAATTCATGTAAATTATTATTGTGAGTAGTATCTTCTAAACATGCTATCAATATATGTCAAATACCAAGAACCAGGAACAAATCTTCAATATTTGTGGTTGGTTCAAACGGTGCTATTATTCAAATAATATGAATTATTAATTAATTATAGATACATGATTATAAAGAACATTAAAATAATACCTTTGTTATAAGTTAATTCACGGATTTTAAGTATATTTTTAAATTCAGCTGGTGAAAAAAAAAAATTTGTCTAAACAAAACTAAAACTAAAGATAAGAACAGTCTGGGAAAGTTAATTTTAAATTAATAATTATCATATTACGTTCTTTCAAAAAATAAAAATTAATTATACTTAGGAATATGATGACTTAAGCCTGGAGTTTTAAATGTGCATGCGGCCAAAAACTTCCGCTCAACTGGATATCATTTAACAAAACATACCAAATATCACCAATTGATTTCATCACAAATTTATGCACAGCAACAATTAAAATCTCAGGATTTTAAAGAGATGAAATGTAAACTATATACAGAGTAAATTTTCTATGGGAAAATGTTTTTTTTTATTTTATTTTATTTTTTTTTTTTTATAGGTTTAATTTACAGCAACACTGAAATACGGACAGTGGTGATCTTCAAGCTACTGCTACTCGTTGAGGAGATACTGCATTTGGTTGGCGTTGATCCTGGTTGTTGGTTGATCTTGTTCGATAGTTATAGCCACGATTACCAGGGTTATTACGTATAAATCCATTATTTTGTTGTTGTTGGCGGTAGTTGTTATAATTTACTCCTTGACGATTGTTATTATAGTTGCTATTATTATAGGAATTAGGGTTAGAACGGTAATTACTGTTATTATTGTTATAATAACCTCCACGGCCACGATGGTATTGACCACGTCTTGCCATTGCTACACCAAATGTCTCAGAATTTAATTTACGCTCTGTACGCCAATCAGTTCTTTGAGAATGTCCTTTGCTTCTCTCAACTGCTTCGCAACTAATTGTGTCAAAGAATGATTTCGATTTATCATAAAATACTTTTTGATCATCGTCTCCTTCGTTATCATTTTCTACAGCATTCGTATCATTTCCACTGTCAATACGATGATTTTTTTTTATGGCAACTAATTCTCCATCATTGGCATGAAGTGTTGAATCGCCATTAACTGCTAAACCACCTCCATTAACTAAAGTTACTTCATTAGTTGAATCATCAAAACCATCATCTATCTTGGTTCTAGATAGTTTCTTAATAATCTCCTGGAATTCACTATTTGCCTTATCAAAATCATAATCTTCATCAAATTTCAATGAATTTGTTCTGGGTCCCTGTGCTTTGCTAGGAGTTGGGAGACCAGTAGACCTGTTATTATAAAATGAACGACCATTATTTTGTCTTCTAACTTGTTGTTGTTGGGATTTTTGCTGTTGATTTTGTTGATTATTCCAATTGCGACCATTCATATTGCGATTTCCACCTTGACGATTGACAAAATGTTGATTCTCTTGATGTTGAAAATCATTCCTTTGATACTGCTGGTAATTTCTTTGATAATGCTGCGGTTGATCATTTCTTTGATTGTTTTGTCCCTGTTGCCTAACTTGTTTACGGGTATCAGACGAAGATGTAGATCTATTACGTTGATTTGTTCCTCCTCTTCCATTTCCAGGACTTGGTTGATTTCCAGTTTGAATGTTTTGATCAAATGAGGGACTGTTTCTTTGACCATTAAAAGTATTTGGCTGAGCAGGTGTAGATAAACGAGAACCACCAGATATTAAATCCAAAACATTTGCTTGCTTATGAGATGGTCCAGCATTTAAGTTCACACCAGACATAGGATTATAAGAGTTTCCAACCTGATTGACTGATCTTAATTCATCCATTGGTTGATAACTAGGATTAAATCCACCCATAGTATTTGGAGGGACCGACAATTGTACAATAGCGGGATCATTTAGAGGTATTTGTGGAGTTATCACTTTAATATATTTTATATCAGAGCCACGGAAGAGTATATAATTATATATTTGACTTTGAGCTGGAACCTTGAATTCTGTTGGACGGTCTTCTGTTCCAAAAGATTGCACGTGAGACAAGGCAATGGTACATTCTTGAGGGTCGACTGTAAACAGTTTACCCTCGTACCTAATATCTGCCTTTGATATTAGGCTGATCTTGCTTCCCAATTCCGGCATACTCATTTTGATGAGAGTAGTTGTTCTTAGAGCGGCAAATACGCAAACACTATGTTAATGAAAATGCCAAAACGTGAAATTATATACACATTTATTATTTAAAACTGAACAATACGCACACAATAGATCATGCAAAAAAGACGAACTAATTTAGGATACTAACAACAAACGTTACATCTCCAAGGAAATAAAAATATATAAAAATATTTTTTTCACTCGACGAGATACGTACAATAGAAGCAATATATATATATATATTCATTGTAAAATCAATCACCATCATCGTTGCAATGTTGTTCGCTTGTCTTTTCCGAAATTCGTCTGACCATTTATGTCGACCAAATCTTACCTGCGATACGCAGTCAAATATATACAATTGGACTTGGTACGAAAATCTGAAAATTTTAAATGTACTTAATAAAAAAAAAAAAAAAGTCTAAGGTCCTTGAGCAGTGCTTAATTTGTCTATAAATTAATCCGGTACTGCTCGTACGACAGTATTGACAACATCACTTGCAAGCAGTGCCGCTAAATGATACGCGCACAGAACAATCACATCTAGGGCCGTAATTAGGAATTTGACATCAGGGGGCAAAAATAAAAAACGCTTCATCATACCAAATACAAATTTCTGCGGATTGAAAAAGATCTTTCTGAAGAACAATTCGTTGCTGGTGTATACAAAAATATTTTAAGTGCAATGTCAAAATAAAGATAAATTGTTTGTAAATCTTTAGATCCATCGAAAGTACTCGACGGTTACTGAGTATGTATGTGTGTGTGTCTGTGTCGTGACGCCATAATTGGCGATAAATATTTTTTTTTTGAGATACACTTTTTATTTTGTAAAGAAGTTTCACTTCAAAAATATTAGATCATTAAATATTAAAAATAATATAGTATTATAATATAATATTAAAAAATTAGCCGCCCACTCATATTCTGCCGCCCGAGGTAACAGCACCCTGTAACTCCCCCCCTAAATATGGCCCTGTGTATTCGGTCTTAATTGCAATGGTGCTTTTAAAATATTCACGAGTGCCAAAATACTCTATAGCCTTTGTGAATTTTTATTTTTATGAGTATGATTATACACAGTACATTTTTATTTAACTTATACAATAATCAAACCAATTTAATCAAAAAAATATCCTTCAGAAACCTAAAACAAAAACTTAATACTTAGATTAGCAAAAATATACATGTTATAGTAATCATTTTAATCGTAATTATAAAATTAATTACAGCAAAGTCCAAAGGTTGTAAACTTACAACCTATTAAAGGTTATATACGTATATCATGGATTTTTTTTTTTTACGTATTTTTCCCGTAAAAGTCTCTTTAACCGTAATGATTACAAAATTATCAGGAATACGTTGCATATACTAATTTACGTCTCGTTTTCAACTATCTTTAAATATTATAAAGGCTCATTCTACCGACCCATAATAACTTATAATAACTTATAATAACTATAATAACTTTATAATAACTTATAAGTAAAATTTACCTATATACAGTACACTATATTTGTACCATTTATCATGTTTCAGTATCTTTTTTCGTATTGTTTTTGATTCATCCGAGCAGCAGTATGACTAACGTGCGAATTAGGCCGTAACGTACATAATCAGGGCCCTGGAGAGCGAGCAAGGGCTCCAGGGAAAAATTAATCCAAGCGCTTCTCGCATGAGGCATTAAACTCGCCACTGACATCCAGTGACATCTTTTAAAATGTGTATACTAAAGACAGGGGTAGATAGGTAGTTTTTTTGTTACAGGGAAATATTTTAATGGGCCCACCAAAATAAAAATAAAAATTTGCTCGCTTCGTTCGCATAACACATTCAATATAATAAAATATATATAATAAATTTAAAAATAGAACATTACAACAAGATACAGAAGTATAGGATAGGCGTTAGTGTACAAATTGTATTATGACCGTGACGTAGTGAACTTGGTCAGGCCCCGGGACCTTTTTGAAGCCCGGGCCCCTAGGCTACAGCCCCAGTTGCCCCCCTCTCATCGGCCCTGTACATAATATGCGATATATTTTCGCGTCGAACAAATCGCTAAGTATTTAAATTTGAATATGTTTTCAGGTATGATGAAATACTCTTCGAACATGAGATTATATTATATTGTTGTGCTTAAATTGTGCGCAAGTAAATTACAGCACTGTGCACGTATTATCATACATATTACCGCTTAAACAAATACGATTCGATGTTCTTTTTATTTTTATTTATATATAAACCGTACGAGCGTAGTAAATCATGGGTAAGGAGAACGAATGATGTTTTTATACGTTTGTAACGATTTACATATTAGTGTATTGCATACACACACACACATGGTGACAAATATTATAAAAACTCATTGCTCGTAAACCAATCATTCACAACAGAACGCAGTAACGTATGCGGAGGATGACAGCGCACCACTAGAACGGCAGTGTATTATAAAAATTATAATAATAATATACGAGTGAAATATTTTTATTACCGTGTATAGCAGGTATGCGTACACACATAGAATGTACTACCGAGAGTTACGTTGTCGATACAATGTGTGTACCAATCGGATAACACGGGTTAGCTGAATGTGTACGTCTACAATATTGATTATAATAATATACTGCTCTGTATAAGTGTCCAATAAATAACGTTATAACAAGTACATAAACCGTATAATATTACAGCGAAATAACCGTCTTCGCGATTGCTCGTCGTTAAATGCTACTCTCATTGCTCGCACAGCGCCCGAAACGGTCTCAAAATGTATTAAAATTATTTTCTTCGTTTAACAACGTGTCATTAAAAAAATACTACTGCGGGTTACGAGTTCGATTCATATCGAATTATAGACGTCTGACGCAACGGAATTTTGACGCAGTGTACCAGTGACTTATTTATGAGGGTGCCCCCCCCCCCCCCCCCCGAATTTTCTAAAAACAATATTAAGTTTGCTTTTATCTTATAAAAAGTAAACTCTGGAAACTCATATTACCATTGTTTTATGAACGATTAGTTTCAAATTCTTCGTGTTATGTAGTGTACCTATTTGTATATCCGAAAACTTTGGTCGTGACCATAATAATTATTATTATGTGAGTATTTTCGTTTTCATTAATTTTCTAATTGATAATTATAATTTGTAGGTCTTTTTTTAATTTTGTAAAAAAAAAAAGTTATGATTAGATATCCAATAAAAATAAAAATGTCTTACTAAAAATCTAATTCTCGTGTTTAATTGGTTGAATTATGAAATTTTGTTCGGTGGAAATTCCCCAGCCCCTCAAAAAAAAAAAAAAAATTTAAACATACCCCTACGGATACCTTGTAATGAAATCGTGTTACACACCTATTACTATTGTTAAGGATAAATATTGTTGTTAGTCGCCTGAAGTAGTAATTCATAAATTATATTTCGTACGCTGCGCATATTATGCGCGAAGACTTGGTCCGTTGTCTACACGTGAACGGACGTGAAGTAGAGGTAAGAGCAGGACCGAGTCTGCCTTGAGCAATCTTAAGATATGTGTATAGTGTGACGAAGACAAGAGCCCCACCTAGGTTTTACCTTCAGACATTTTTGATCCTGCCCGTTCGAATGCGCTATTCACGTCTACGTACCCGTAATGGAGCTTATGAGTTAAAGCACTCGGTCGCGTCGGAAGCATATGCGCTTGCACAGTTGACGAACGAACTGTTTGCACGGAGTACGTTTTCCCCGGCGCGAGCGTACATACTTCACTCATACTCGAAAACACGTCATGTTCCGCATTTAACAATAACAATAACGACGCCGCGGCCGCATTTCGATTCCTGTGCACAGGATATCGTTTCACTAGGAGTTCTTAAGACGAACAGTGACGGTGATTGCAACAAGAAGCTTACTCTACGTCTACGTATCGTTACGTGTACTTGCAATGATGTCGATAAGTGTACTGCGCATCCTTAAGGTAGGATAAGAGCAGAGGGAGGAAACGGTTCCCGAGAGTACGGTGTTATATGACTGTCGGACGAAATCCGAACAGACGAGCGCACGCGCCGCGCGAGCAGATTGAAACGTCCGTTTACGACGACGACGATACTCGTCCGTATTTTTTTCCTTATCCTGCGGCACACGCTTGTATTCGCTGTACGTGCGCGCCCACCGGTGCATGGTACAAATATATTCATATGCGTGCGCACGAGTCCTGCGAATTTACTCGGACACGGGTGTGGACGAACGGTAATCGTTACGAATTGCACATCCGCTGCGCGCGCGCACAAGTATGGACAACGGCAACGACTCCGTGATTTGAATATTTATGCAGTTATTAGAAGAAGTGAATGTCGTCGTCGTCGTCTTCGTCACAGCGGTGTTAGTGTGTACCTACTACCGCGAACATGCGCGACGAGCGGGACTACACGCCGGAGACATCCCACTCGAGGAAGATGGTAAACTGCGGCAAAATTAACCTTTTTTTCAAAAGTCGATAGGTAAACTGCGAAAAAAAAATTAAGATTATACAATCTGCGGCAATTTATTATATATATATATATATATATCGTTACGATAACCTATGTACACGTTTATCGTTTAATTAGGAATAATATGTGATATGGCAGCCATTAGTCTAGAGACTCTTAGAGTATTAGACATAAAAATAGTTTTGTCGGAGTTTATATATACAGGACCGTAGCAACCAAATATTGCGCCCGGGGCAAAATTTCAAAATGCGTCCTTAAGTATTTTAATTAAAAAAAAAACTAAATGTTTATTTATAAACGCAATATAAATAACGACTTTTCATTATAGCTACGTAAACGTTTGTTAATTTTATTTAAATCAATAACTTATTAATACGTAAATATAAATTATAATTATAAGTAGGTACATAGATATAACATAATATTTATAAGTTATATAAGTAAATACATAATATTACTTTTACTTATGAGTAACAATTAAATTGCAAATTTTTCAATTTCACGCCCTCCCAGGAATTGCATCCAGGGCGCATGCCCCCCCCCCTTGCTACGACCCTGACTGCTGCTTACGGTGGCTGTTGATGTTCAGCGAATCTCATCGCTTACCTTTGGCGGTGTGTGCAACCCATTTTTGCTCGCGTATTTTCTCCGCCTCGCGCGCGCACGTACAGGGTTTTAGAC